GAAGCTCAATGCCATCAGAATCGGCCCACATGACGGACAGCCTTGAATTTAGTAGAGACGACAAACGCAGATGATGCTGGGACGGCATAAGGTCTTATTCTATGGTCCGGCGCGCGGTATAGGATCAATCAGCAGCTCGGGGGCTCATCGAGCTGATCTCGTAGTCTCACATCACAATTTACACTCTACTGTCACCGCACCAGCCACACGCACGTCAAGGACACGCACGTCAAGGCCACGACACCAACAAATTTCGGTGCTTCAACAGCCAGCTTTGGGTATTGCAACGCTTCATTCTCGCTCAGTCGGCGTCATTCAGGATACTTGTGGAGACCAGGCAGATTGGCTCGAGGCTCAGTTATTTAACGCCAGCTTTGAGGATCATGTCTCGGTCGGCGCAGGTGGCCCGGATGGACCCTACTATCGCCGTGCATCTCATTACAATGGCTGCCCCAAAGCAGTTACCTTCGATTACAATTTCTCTATTTGAAATAGTACAGTTATATTTCACTAGATAGTCATCATCACATCGGAGATGCTTACTTCGACAGCCTCCCACATCGAGGAATGTGTATGATGCTCTATCTGTCGGATAGTTACCACAGGTGGCTGTTATAACAGTCCTGTACGTACATGAGCATTTACAAGAAGTAGATCTTGTTTTGATATTGATGATCTTTTTCCTTTGACTTTCATTGTCAGATTTGTCGCCTCATGCTGTTTTGTTTGGCAATAACTGTGCTGATTTCTTGTTTTCATTGTTATTTTGGCTACTCAGGAAAACCTTAGAGGATTAAACCTGTTCACCGTAGTGATTGTTGTTGCTATCGTTTTAGTTATACGAATTTGTAGCAGCTACTTCAGGGAAACCTTTAATTTTAAGGATCAAAACCTGTTCGCTGAATTGTTGCTGTTATCGTTTTAGCTTTACGAATTTGTAGAAGCTACCTCAGGAAAACCTTTAATTTTAAGGATCAAAACCTGTTCGCTCTGTTGTTGGCTACTCAGGAAACCTTCGAGGATACACCTGATCACCGTATTTATCTTTATATATTTTGTGTATGCGTTTTAGCTTTGTTCATTTCTTAAACTGCCATTGTTTTGCTCTTTCATATGTGTGGTTTGTTTTTTGTTTTTCCGCTGCTGAGGTCTTATAGAATTGCCTCCCAATTTCATGAAATGGTTGATATAGGTGCTGCAGTCATTTTCAATTTGTTCTGACTATTATTATTGAGAGCTTATAGTTTTCAAATATTTTTGAAGAAAGGCTACAGCTTTCAAAGCATAAAAACATCTAACAGTGTCATCGGTAGTGTACGCATCTTGTTTGCAGGCTCTCATCGTTGGGGCTATTTTTCTCCCTAGAGGCTCATGGAGTTGTTTCTCATTTCGAAGATTTTTATTTTGTTTATACTTCGCAAGTGCAAGCAATAGGTTTGTAAACTATCGATTCCATTGAAAATGAAACTAATGCAGTAAAACTATAGTTGCTTTCTGTAGACAGAGGCTTGTGTAGGCTTGTCTTAAAGTCATAAAGTATTGAAGATTTTTTCTTTATGCTGGAAATGTTTGAAACTTTTGCCGCAATAATTTTTTTTTTAATTTGGCGAATTGAATGAATTGTTTTGGCGTTGTTGCCTCCCAGTTTCATACATTTCTGGGCGTATTTCTTAACTTGGTTAAATACCAGACACATGTTTGTATGGACAATTGCCCATTTTTATTTTATCTCTTTCTTGTTTTTTTTAAGGTATATTTTTATTTTACAGGTCCAAAATGTAGTGGATTACCTGTTCTCAACAAGCCGTAGATCTGCATTTAGTAGACTGCTGCAGCTTTGCATTAAGCGAGGTTTTAGCTGTGCCATTCCTCCTTGTAGCTCGAGATGCACATATTTAAAATGGTATTTCATTAAGTACACATATACTAGTAGTAAATACACAGCTTGTAGCTGGAATATTTTAAGCACAGCTTTATAGCTCGCAAGTGGGGCATTTGGCCTCCCAGTATGGCGTGACACTACAGCAATGCTGCTGGTGCGTGAGGGCGGTATTTAGTTCTTCGCCTTAAATATGTACTACATGTACTTGTACATCATCAAATGCATGTACGTGTATGTGTACGTGTACGTGTACGTGTACGTGTACGTGTACGCGTACATGTACGTAGAGCACAAGGCACTGTGGCCTTCTAGTACGGCTTTTCAACCAGACAGCGCTATGGCTGGTCTGGCATCATGGCCTCACAACTCGGCAATGGCCGGTGTGGCACGGAATGTATGCGTCTCGTGCGGCGCTACAGCTCCATGGCTGGCGCGGGGGTTTCATGACCTCCCTGCATGGCGAATAACTACGCATGCTGTGCTACAGCACAGTGGCTGGAGCCAAGTTGGCAACGTGGCCTCACGCGAGTTGGTGTCCGTCGGGCGATTTTCACTCCGATCTCCTTCATAAGCCTTGGGGCTTGGAGGCGCATCGTCTTGCCGCTTTCAGCTCGTCAGTACCCTGGCGAAGCGTTGGGCTGATAACCTGTTGCGGGTAACTTGGGCGCAGGTAGAAGGAAGTCAGGGTAGGAAGGAGTAAAAGAAGAAGTAAGATTAATGTTTAAGAAAGTAGCGGGCTACTAACAAGAAATTAGTATGCGGCATTCAGAAACATAGTCTAGAATTGCCGCTACCATTCGTCGTACTAAAATGTTCCAGACATTTTAGTACATTATTTATTAGAGTCAAAAATACCGTGTCTCTTCATTATTAGTTTATAGAGAGCACGATGGAGAGGCGGTCCCTGTGACGGGCCCTAACCTCAACAAAACCCGAGTGGTGTGAAAGCGCGTGGTCCGACACGGGGCACGCTAACGCTGCAGACGCAGCGGTGTTACACTGTGGGAATTGCCTTTTGGAATTCCGCGCTGGTTGATTGGTACGATGTACCACTGTAGCAATTGCGTGGCGATGGCGCTCTACTTCTTGTAGTGCGACCTGCGTCTACAGTACAAGCCTCGTACGAGGGCCACATGCGCTAGTGAAGTTTTGGAGGGCAGTGTGACGGTCGGAAGTATCCTACCACCTGTTACTATGTAAAGCTTAACTAGGCGCTTCAGCATTCCAAATGGAAAGGCGTGCTTGAACTTGGCCTCGTATGGAGCAATCAATGCGGACTTCCTGGACTGCCAGGGTGGCAGGTAAGAGCGTAGGAATTGATCAGTATCAAATAAGCTTCCTAACGAGCAATACACGTTGTCGTTAGTGGGAGTTCCAGCTCCCAATCTACTGTCTTGATGCTGTAAACCATCACAAAGTTAACGTTAGTCCAAGGGCTACGGATAAGACGAGGAACCAAGGTGACCACGCTTCTGAGTAGGCTACTGCGCGCTGTCAAGGCCAACCGACCCGATCGTACTGGGAGCAGCGGCAACTTGGCAAGTGAACGGCAAACCGGTTGCGACCCCTACGATGGAGGTCTCACCAAGCTTAAGTGTCCCGACCGTACTGGGGCAGCAGTAGCATTGGCGTGACGCGCCGAGGCATTAATAGCTCGGGCGGGAGTAGTGTTGTGGGACGGCGCAGAGGCGTCGTGCCCAGCGTAGGCCTGGAATATGCGGCGAGATCGCGGCTTGTCAAAACCCGAGTGGTGTGAAAGCGCGTGGTCCGACACGGGGCACGCTAACGCTGCAGACGCAGCGGTGTTACACTGTGGGAATTGCCTTTTGGAATTCCGCGCTGGTTGATTGGTACGATGTACCACTGTAGCAATTGCGTGGCGATGGCGCTCTACTTCTTGTAGTGCGACCTGCGTCTACAGTACAAGCCTCGTACGAGGGCCACATGCGCTAGTGAAGTTTTGGAGGGCAGTGTGACGGTCGGAAGTATCCTACCACCTGTTACTATGTAAAGCTTAACTAGGCGCTTCAGCATTCCAAATGGAAAGGCGTGCTTGAACTTGGCCTCGTATGGAGCAATCAATGCGGACTTCCTGGACTGCCAGGGTGGCAGGTAAGAGCGTAGGAATTGATCAGTATCAAATAAGCTTCCTAACGAGCAATACACGTGA